CACAAATTTGCTGCAGTTTCAAGGAGCACGACCTGATCACGTGCCAGTCGAAAGTTCAAATTGTTGTTTCCCTAGGGAGTTGGTGAGTTTTGACCCACCACACGTGACACGTTCTCGTCCAATCGGAAAACGTATTTGAATTGGGAGGTATAACAAGAGCCATTATACCATGCTCTACAAATATGGTAAGCGTACGGTTAATTTTGGAAGGCGTTTTTATCTTTATTTTATTTTAGTTTTCTATATTTTGGGGGCGTTTTTAAGTATGAAATGATTGTAGCCAGCTCGGCGCTACACGACTCACTGGCTATCATCATCTCATATCCATCTCATGCAATAATTTTTACATAGCACTAATAAAGAAGGCTTGGATTTTCTTAATACCAGACAGAGGGCACAAATGAAAGCTATCTCACACCAAGTAACATTTTCCATCGCTAGTGTGCCCGGTGGTTTAGATACACCTCAGCGAATTCAATAGATTCAGAAAATCGCTCGAGACTTATTACGACCATTATTAACTGATCAAAAAACCTCAATTAAACTCGACAAAATTGGTCTGAATTTGCAAACAGGAGTTCGCGGTTTCCGTACGTTTTGCTTAAGAAATGTGAATGGCCTTCAAATAGCTTTGCTTTTTAAATGGACTGCGTTCACAGTGGATTCGAAGTCAGACTTATATGATTATCAATATTGTTTTCAGTGAAAAGCGACAAAGGGACCGAACACAGTTGGAGAGCATGAGAGAGGAATTAAGATCAAAAGAAAAGGTGACGTAGATATGATTCCAATTCTTTCGATCACGTTTCTTAAACAGAAACACTGTTGAGGTAGACAAGGCGAGCAGTATTGATTATTTTCTCAAAGATTAAAGGAGATTTGGTTCGATATCAGCAAATAAGATGTTCCGTGAGGCCGGAACTTTTTGGCTTCCCGCGTCACCGAGAAACCTCTCCAAACAAAATAACAATTTCCCTCCCAGTAACATTATCATAAAAATTGAAAATTATGTCTTAGAACTTGCATAAGCTAGTAGAAAGTCGGTCAATATTCGAGATCTTTTCTTAAGCTGCAGTCATAAAACCTCTCATATCATCATAATGACTTCATGCAATACTTGTTTTCCTGCAGGTGTCGGAGCAAAATGCTCAATTACAACTGTAAGTGCTAATCATCTTATATTTAAACCTTGGACATTTTGACAAAAGAACCATATTTTATGCTCGCGCTCTTAAAAAAAACAGTATCTTTGACGTTGATATTGTGGTAAAAAACAAATCGAAATATGGTTTAGCGTGGTCTGTACTCTTATCGATATCGACAACGATACGCGTCATCACAGTAGTCAAAATTTGATGTGGATTCACGAGGCTGCGCCTCGTGAGTCCACAACATTTTGACCACTGTTATGACGCGTATGGTTGTCGATAAGAGTACAGACCACGCTGAAACACATTCGATTTGTTAAATACACCATACAAATAAAAAATGAAATCCTTAAAAGTCAGTTGCAACTAGAGCCGAAAGCGAGCGGTTTCGATAGAGTTTGTAGTTTTCCTTGATTAGAACGTTGCGAAAAAAACTGTTGAAAAATACAACAATGTACCTTGCATACGGCTGGCGCCCCTGAAATTTGAATTAATTGGTCAATCAGGATTCAGCAGGCGTGAAAAACTTCACTGTCCTGACGAAAAGGTAAATTAACAGGAATAGCAGTGGAATCACACAACTTTTTCCACTGGAGATGGCATTGAATATTCACGAAAATGGATTTACAATTCCCAAAACCATATCAGATTGTAAAAAGTGAAAAATATGAAACATTTTCTGTCTCCAGGCTTCCAATTTGGCGCCAAACATGGGTTCCCAGCTTCCAGCATGGCAACTCGCTCGTAGTTCGTCGAGTGTCGCCTTTAGGATAATGGGTGGGTTACGTCAAATTAAACCCGGAATTCTCAAGATAACTATTAGAAGAGGCCAAAGCAACTTTAGCATTGCCTTTATTTTTGTTAGCTTCGAAGAAAAAGTCTATTATTTTGTCCATTCGGTGGGACAGTTAAGTTTTGACTGCCGCTCGTGCTGCGGGCGCAGGCGCCGTGTGCAAGGTATATATAAGGATGGATGAAAAAACTTTGCGCATGTTATAAAAGTTGGTTTACATATTTGACAGACTCTGCAAAAAATACCACGTGGAGTCTTTTATTATAACTGTTATTATTCTTTTCTGTGGTCGGGGAATTCACTAGGAATGCACAGAAGTACCAAATACCAGTTCATTGAAGCAATTTGGTACTGTTTGACTTTGGTATTGTAGCTACAGTTTAAACAGAAATATATCACATAGTTACCCAATGTTGGGTGCAAAAGGAAACCTTATGGAAATTAATATTCTGCTGACAATAGACCGTGCTGGTTTTTCAGCCATTAATTTCAATTTGCAAGTTTGTGGACCTAAATTAAGAGGAGATCCACCAACGTATAACGTAAAAAAAAATTGAAGGAGATCAGTTTTTATAAAGTTGCACTCTTTTAAAAAATAATTTGCTTAGAAATAAGAAATTCAATATGTGGCTACGCCCTTCGAAAGGAATAAAGTAATTGCACGAACTAAAGGCAGATATAAGAAACAAAGAGATATTGTTTAAGCTAAAAAAGGGAAATCTATTTTCTTCTTTTCAGAGAAATACAAAGTCTTAAAGAACAGGTGAGTCGCATTTCAATATTTACCTCTTTACGCGCTTCTTATGCAGATGATTTCAATTTTGTAACCTGCAGAACATTGTTAGTTTTTAAGCGTGTTTGTAGCAAATTTCTATAACTTCGAAACTTAACAGACCGAAACAAGAACTGAAAAAAAAAAAAAAAAAAAAAAAATCCAGCATCAAATCCAACTAGGTTAAAAATTTACCCATGAAGAAGTCTTGTAAATCATTTTCCTTTAGCTTTAGCTTGAAAATGTCAATTATCCATTACAAAGCGTCTTTTTCTGTTAGTGAATTATTCTTTTCTTGTTGATGGTGCTCGTATTTTTTCAGTTCAACTGAAAAAATGCACCCTTATCAG